TGCGCCAGCGGCCGGTCGACGCCGTGGGTAAACGAAACCAAATCATATCCGACGTGGACAATGGACTTCCGGTGCAATCCTAACCCAGCTCTAAGGCGTTCGTAACAGCGCGCGCAAATAACGTGAATCGCTACCAAGAGAAACTGATATCACGACGCTCTCAGCATTGGGGACAAGCGAAAACAAACTGAATAGAAAGAAAACTAAGAGTTGGCACCGACAGCTCTTCGCTTATTTTGGATCCTCTAGTCCGCGTGAGGTGAGGCTTTTAATGAACAACCATTTCGTGCTATAGGGGAATACTGCGGGGCTGATCATGCAGCGTCCATGGCTCACAATCACAGAACGTTCACATGGCACGGTCGACACGGAAATTTGGGTCGACAACCCCTCAAGAACGGCCAACCTGGCACCAGCGAACCGTTTCGCGCGAGTTGTATACCTACCGCACAAACAAGATTCCCGCGGTCGCGCACGCCTGGCTAAGAATGTCGAAGGCAAGGCCATCTCACGAAATCAGCCCAACCTGCGTAATGGACACAGGCCATGCGCGGTAACTCCGGTAAGGAAGCACGCGAGCCCAAAGCCCATGCAAATCAGTTGAAAATGGTTTATCTGCACCATCTGCACCAATCCCACACCGTATCAAACGATAATGCGTGGTGCGGAAAGTGCAGATGTCCCCATGCGAGGCAGCGAAACGATAGCTTCACGAGCCAAAACATGGCGCTGGGACGAATGAGATCAGCAGGTTTCGCCCCGCGACAGGGCCAATCGAACACCAGCCCAGGCGATAGCCCAGTCACGTGTCTGCGACTCGCTCCGGAACGTGCTGCGGCGCTTGAGAACCTCAAGCCCGTTCTTCACTGGCCAACAGCGCCCAGTTCCCGGCAAACTGTTCTATATACATCACATGTCAGTGAAGAGCGGTTGAACTAAGTCCAAACCTTGCGGCTATTTTTGAGCAACACAGCGTTCCTGGAACGCCAGTCGCACTCGCGTTAAGAAGCAGACCGATATTTCTCTATTGATTCGACAAAGCGTCTGAACCACGCCGCTATGTACACAAATAGTCCGAGCTCCGAAGGGGCCCAGGCAGCTCTGGTTGGTCTCGGGACCACTACATGGGCGCCTCAAGTAACGAATGGCGTGCTTTTGCTTGTGAAGAGCGGGTCTCTCAGTCGGTCGCCACTTGACGCCTATCGCGCATCGGGTTAGAACTGTGTAGAACAAACACTCAAGCTGCTCCGACAGATCCGCCGCCAGCCGCACACACGTCACCGACGTCCTGTCGCAAGAAGTATACTCTGGACCTTGAGGTGTATGATGAGCATCCTCATCCATTAATCCCGCAACTCTGTTAATTTTGTGGGATGTCAAAAGAGAAAGGAACAAATTGTGAGTCTCAGGAATACTTGCTGCTCGCAAATCAGTCCCAGTCCCGGACCACATCACGCTTCACGCGACGCCTTACTTTCTGGGAGTTGTCTCTGATAAGAGTTCTCGACCGAGCTCCCAGTGACGTGTTATCGGACTTTGAGCTCGCTCACAACGGCGTCTTCCGCCGTCGCCGGACGGCACGCCATCGGCGATCACGTGACATCGAGCGGTACCCCGCCCGAGCTCATTTGGCGTCGGCCGGCAGAGCAACGCGCGCCATTTGGCGTCGGCCGGCATTGCCCGTTCCCGATCCGATCGGCCGGCCCGCCAGGTGCCGACCGCGGCTCGCCAGCCGACCGCGGCCACCCGTGTCTCCCGGCGCCCGGCGGGGACAGGTGGGGAGCGCGCAGGCGCAGAGGGCACTGTTCACGGCCAGGAGACGGCAGCGTCACAGGAGCGGCACGAGCGCTTGGTCCACGTCACCGGGGATGGCGGAGAGACGGGGGTTGCTCGGAGAGATGGGCGGACAGTGTTTGGGTTTCCTGGCGCATCAACTGCAGGGGCATGCGGCATAGCGTCTCCTTTCCTCCCGGGGTAGGGGCAGACAGCCTCTGATGCCGTCCCACTGCAGTGATCAATATACGCCTGCGGCGACACACCTCAGGACCGGTTCCGCAGCTCGAGATGAGGCGTAATGTGTCGGCACGCCGAGGGCCCGAGCCAAGGTGACTCAAGAGGTACCCTTACACTGTCCTTGAATCCGCGGCAAGAGCACGAGCGCATCATGCTCACGTCGGCTGCCGGGCAGGCTACAAATGTTCCATCACAGCCGCAGACGACGTGATCTTTTGTAAATTTATTGTTACCGACAGGAGCCCGGAATCTGTCACACCCAAGGAGCAAACATTACAGACGCGACACGGCTTCTGTTCGCACTCGTTGGCGGTTGGAGAATCTGCTCGAAACTGCCTTCTTCCTGCCGTCCGGTAGTCGAAGTGACCTTAGTGCGTGTCGCCGGGGCCGGCGCTGCAGGTCGCCTGGTCCCTCCGCTTGCGGAGTCCGCTCCCGGGCTCTCAGCTCGCGCCGTGCACGCCGCCCGCCACCGGGCCAGAGGGTGGTTCACCCGTTAGGCGCTGCCGGTCAGCAGAGGAGGACGCGCGCCCCGCGTCCTCCCCTTACGCGGCGATCTCCATCTCCATCTCCTTGTTCTTCTTCTTCTTCTTTTTCTTGGCGCTCTTGCTGTCCTCAGTATCGTTCAGGTCCAGCGTGGAGTCGCCATTTCCATTCATCTCGTCCTGGTGCTTGCGCTTTCTTCTTCTTCTTCGGCGGTTCGTCGACATCCAGTTGAGACGTATCCAGCGTCGTGTCGCCGTTCTCTTCACTCTCCGCCTTGCGCTTCTTCTTCTTTTTCTTTTTCTTGTCCAGCTTGGCCTGGATCCTCGACGCTCTCCTCCATGGCCTCCTTCATGACGTCGGCATTCTTGCGCGGAATCTCGCCCGTCTCGTAGAACTTGAGCCGCTCCTCCACCTGCTGACGCAGCTTCTCGCCGAACACGGTGTTCGCCGTTTCGGAGAAGCAGTCTATGCGGCTGGCGATGCTGCACTTGTTGGCCAGGTAGCGCGAGATGCGACCCTTGTTCTTAGCGCCGGCGCGGCCGATGAACGTCGAGTGGAAGAGCAGGCCGTACTTGGGCGTGTTGCCGCGCGTCTTGAGCGCGCGGAACAGCGCCTTCTCAGCGCCCAGGATCTGCACGGTCGATGCCGGATACTTGGCCAGGTTCGTGAGTGAGCCGGCGTGCGAGATCAGCCGCGCCGCCACCGTGTCGCCCACCAGCTCGCCCAGGTTGGGGGCCACTGCGCCCATCTTGTCCTTCAGGTAGTTCTGCAGGCTGGTGCGGTACTCAGACAGCGCCACCACGCGCTTGGCGAACATGTCGATGTTGATGAGGTCTAGCGGCGAGATGTCCATGCCCATCGAAGACTTGGACGCGTCGTAAACGGCCTGCGCCTTGGCCGAGTCCATGAGGATCTCCTCCAGCTGGGGCACCACCTCCTCCGTCATCTCCTTGCGGTTGCGCACCACCTGCGTGCAGCGGGCGTACATGTAGTTATTGGGGCAGATCTTGACGAGTTCCGGGAAGTGGTAGGAGTACCACTCGCGGATACGCATCGAGAACGTGTTGATATCCTTATCCAGCTGGTCCAGCAGCGCGATGCTCTGGATGATCATGTTGTCCGACTTGTTGACGTTGAACTTGACCTTGCAGCGCGAGTAGCTGTGGCCCAAGCCGAGCTGCGCCTTGCCCGACGCCACCGGCGTGAAACCCTTCACCATGTTGGGGAAGTGCAGGCGCAGGCCGCGAATGATCTCAGGCACAGCGCCCGAGTGCTGGCACTTGACACCCAGGGCTTCGGAGATGGCGGCGCCCAGCTTGGGCTCCGACACGCCCACCGTCACCTTCTTGCGCTTGCTCGGCAGGTTGGTGTCGAGGAACAGTTGCAAGTCCTCCGTCACGATGCCCTCCGAAACGGCGTTCATGTTCTCCAGCGCATTGGCGCCCGTCTTGAACGGCGCGAAGCCCACCAGATGCACGATCGAGTTGAACTTGCTGAGGTCGGTGACGGACGCCTCCACCTCGGGCAACAGCATGCCTGTCTCCTCGAACTCCTTGACGGCGAACAGGCCGTAGCCGGCGGCGTGCTCGAACAGCACGTTAAGACCGGCCATCCTCTGTGGACAGACGGGGCGGGCGGTCAGCGGCGGCGCGACACGCAGCCGCGCACACACACAGCAGCGGCCACCGCGGCAGACACAGGATACCAGCGGGTGCGGGCTCCGACCGACAGCGCACCAGCCACGAGCGCCGGCGCGCCCCGGTGGCGCACCCCGGTGACGCGTCTCTCCGCGGCCCGGCCGGTGCTCGGGTCAACACGGGGCACGGGGGCGGGCGCCGTCATCGCGCCGTTCCGGACGTCGTGCGTCAGCCGTCAGCGCGGCTACCGATGACCTCAGCAGCCGCGGGCGGCGATAATCCGACGGCAGTGCGCTGATCGCGGCCGGCCGCCCGAGCCAGCGACGACGGGACCAGGGCGTGGGCGAGCGTGACGTCAGATGACAAGCGGCGACAGCGCCAAACACGCACAACACGCCGTTCACCGGGACGATTTGGGTTTCAGGCAGGCCGACTGCTTTGTTATAAGGCGCACTCGCTACATACCGCGCAACAGTCCACCAGCCTAGGAGACACACTTTTGTCGAGGATAAGTATATGATAAAGGCTAGGTTTTGACCGCAGTCATTAAAGGCCGTATCTGCTGGCACCACGTGCACAGCTTTGAAGTGTCATTAATACACCTGCCCAAACGCGAGCCACGATGCAGTCGGGCGGATGCAGATCGCGGCGCTGCCTGCTCTCTCGCATCTGGCCACGACAAGAACCGTCCAGATGACAAATGATCGGAACATACGTAATACGATTGATGGGCGCGGTTTTATGCGGTTGTTTTGCTAACCCACCGCTCTGCCGAATGAACGTGAAACCCCAAAACTGGGTGACAGCCGCCCGCCAGCGCCACTGGCGCCCCTGCGCTCCCAAGTAACGGCGCGCCGTCCGTTCCAGACGGCACGGCATGCGGCTCTCCGTCTGGCTGGCGTTCGCGGTCGCCCTCGTCACATTCCAAAGGTAAGCCGCTGCATGAGCCAGCCGTGCTCGTCCTCCCGGCGAGCAACCGTTCCTTCCAGCGGTCACCAGCCGACACGGGCCGACATCCCCTCTGTGACCGGCTGCTCTGCTCCACCGCCGGCCGCGCCGCCCGTCCCTTCCCGCAGTCACCGGCCGACACGGGCCGGCATCCCCAGCGTGTCCGCCTGCGACCGGCTATTCTGCTCCACCGCCGGCCGCGCCGTCCGTCCCTTCCAACGGTCACCAGCCGACACAGGCCGGCATCCCCAGCGTGTCCGCCTGTGACCGGCTGTTCCGCTCCACCGCCGGCCGCGCCGGCCGTCCCATCCCGCCGTCATCGGCCGACACGGGCCGGCATCCCCAGCGTGTCCGCCTGTGACCGGCTGTTTCCGCTCCACCGCCGGCCGCGCCGTTCGTCCCATCCTGCCGTCACCGGCCGACACGGGCCGGCATCCCCAGCGTGTCCGCCTGTGACCGGCTGTTCCGCTCCACCGCCGGCCGCGCCGTCCGTCTGTCACTGATCGAGATCTCGTTGGCCGGCCGGCGGCGGTGACGAGCTGTTCGGCTGCGGCGGCACGCCCGACCTGCAGCGGCCGGCATGTGGCGCCGCCCCGGCCGCGCGATGGACGCAGCCTCCTACGGGCGGCGGCCACGTGTGCTGCGGCTCACCAGCGACCGCGGCGCGGCCCGACCTGCGGTTAAGCCGCGACAGCACATTGGACCGACTGTCGGCTGCGCCCACTGTAGCAACGCCCTGCCCAAAGTTGCACTCGAGCAGAGGTGACCCTGGCGCTCCCGTGCGAAAATGACACCGCGACCGGCTGTATCAGCTGCACCGGCGTCGCAGTGCACCCCTCACAGGAGGTGCCCTCCACCCTCCTCATGCACCCTCAGCCATGTCTCGCTCCCTGTGTCCTCGTCACAGCAGTGATAACCCATGCGAGGACGAGCCGTCAGCTAAGCCCTCTGATAGCGGTGTGCACGGCACTAGCATTGATCACCCTGTATCACGATGACCTCTTGGCTTAAGCACCTGTCGGCCGTGTCCCCCCGCCTCAGCCGTAATGGCCCCCGGTGACGTCTGTTTCAAGGTAACCAAGTCCAGCCCATCCAGGTGGCAAACTTTCCAGGGCGGTCCCATGCGGTTGACTTCGGTGACAATTTTTTCCGAAGCGAGTGCGCTCGGCTGAATTGGGTAACACCCCGTGCAGGGTGAACCCACTCAGCTGACTGCCGTGCCGCTCGTTCCGCGGCAGCTCAGTTAACACCGGCGACATCGGTTCCAGGGCGGCCCCGCTCAGCTGCGCCCCCTGTCGCCCGGAGCAATGCAAGCTGCGCAGCCCCAGATGCAAGTACGGCGTGGTTAGGGACACGTGCTCCTGCTGCGTCACTTGCGGCAAGGTGAGCTGAGCCCTGCACGACCTGAACCAGCGCTCGTCAGTTATCTCGCCTGATGGCCGTCGGGCCGCGGCGGATGTGCCCTGGTAACCAGACGCTCCGCCGCCCGAGGACGAGCGCAGAGGCCGGCCGCGATGCAATGCTGAGCATCCGAAGAGTGACGCCTGCTCGTAGCTTACGCTATTGCGAAAGTAACAACAACATTTGTCCGAATTCAGTGCCCGTTGCCTATGTGGTATGCTAAGATGACGCAGGCAGCGCGCGCCATACAAAATGCCTCGCCCAGACCATGCCGTGGCGCCATTCCTAACGCCAACGGCCATGGCACTTCATCACGTGACATCAGAGACAATCAATCAAAATCCGCCCTCTGATCGCTGCTGAGCCGACCTTGGCCAGCACGTCAGGCCGGCCGGCTGCATGGCGCGGCGCCCGACACAGCGCCCCCTGTGTGCTGTGTTGCAGGGTCCCGGACAGCTGTGCGGCGGGCCGTGGGACTCGGCCGGCCGCTGTGGCCACCACCTGTACTGCAAGAAGAGGCCGCACCACCGCGAGCCGTACGCCGAGTTCAACGCGCTCGGCAAGTGCCGGCGGCCGCAGGCGGCGCGCCAGCTGCCGCGCGACGACGACGTCGTCTTCCCGGACGCCGAGCACGTGCAGCAAGACGAGATGGAGCGGGCGGCGCGGCACGAGGCGGGCGCGCTCAGTCTCATCAGCCCGCTCCCGGCCGCCTAGACGGGCCCTTCGGCCGGACAGAGCGAGACTGAGGCTGGCGGGCCGCCTAGACCGGCCTGATAAGCCGACTCCTGGCCGTCTAGGGCGCCGCCACCCATCTGATCGGCCTGCACTCGGTCACCTAAAACGGCGCCGTCCGCCTGGTCGGTCCCCTTGTCGTCTCCACACGGTTTCACTGCCTGCTCCTATTCCTCCTCCCCCATGAAGCCTCTTCGCAACACCACCGCGTGTCGTCGGCTTCTCTAGTGCTGGTCGACTACTGCCACACCACCACTGCCAGCCGAGGCAGACTGCTGCGGCACGCCAGCGAACCGAAGCTGGCACGCCTTCATAGAGCCGCCGACTCTCCGATACAGACAGGCGTGAGCGGCGCGTGAATGAAACCAGGGCAGGTTGTTTGGTTGCCGCGTGCAGCGCACTGCGCGGTTTAATGACTTAGATCCTGTCACTGCGCATCCCACGAAACTTCCCCGTTCCGCGCTGATGGGAACGACGAGTTTGACAGCAGCCGAATACGCAGCAGACTTCAACGTTCCTTACAAGCAGAACGTCATGTGGGTGCATGGTACAGGCCTGTCGCGCATGATGACATTCTGACAAGAATAAAGTGACAGACATTACGTCGAGCTTGTTCGTGGAGTGTGCTCAAAATACTAAGCGCGAGCGCACATCCATTTCGCTTAAGTAAACCTTATCTGCTCACGTCACTAAGCATGCAACCTCCTCACGCGATAACACGATCAATCCGGCACGTGCCACATCCTCCAAACGACGTCTTTGTCGTAAGGTTTGTCGTTGCATTCCAGGTCTCGAAGAGCACCGACGATGGATGCAGGCCATGACAATGTTGCCAATAAAGCTCTTACCACTCAGAATCTAATGGAAATGTTTGCGCTGTTCGGAAGCGGGAGTTCGGAAGCGAGAGTAACCAACAGGCTGCTTGCATGCTGTTGATCCGCGTTCGAGTCTCAACAGCCGCGACACGCACTCAGTTGTGTCGACGATTGCTTTGGACGACTCCGGCGCTGCTCGAGCCCACTCGCAACTGACAACCGGCCGCGGGCGCTCGGCCGCGACACGGCGCGTCAATGTCGAATGGCAGCAGGCTCGGATCGCGCCGACGTGGCGCCCGCTTGCATGGGCAGCAGCCGACAACGGCCGCGGGCGCCCGGCCCGCGACACGGCGCGTCGATGTCGACTGGCAGCAGGCTCAGATCCCGCCGACGTGGCGCCGGCTGCGTGGGCAGCAGGCCGGGTTACAGCCCGGACGACACACATAAGAGGGAGTACAGCGCCGACAACCGCCACTGCGAATACCCTGCCTGCTGTAGGAGCTTCTCATATTCTCCTGATTCGTTTCCGACGGAAATCTTCGATGAGAACATTTACGCGCCTTGTGATGAATTGCCACTTGACCACAAAGGTGACTAATGAACGCCTTGGGCTATGCTACAGCGCACGTTAGTGCCGTGGTCACAGAACTGGCGACCTCTCACGCCCCCTGGCAGCGGGGGAACGCCGAAACAAAGGTGGCAGCAGGTCTCCACCCCTGAGTCATCTGAAAGTGCAAGAAAAACACGCCGGCACCCTCACGCTACGTCTTCTGGTGGAACCAAATGATCAATTGATAAGATACGGCCCCGCCCCAACCTAAGCAACGCATTGTATAGCTTATAATCTACTCAGTATACATGTACTGGCTTTTCATTAATAACTTTGAAACCTAGCGCCTGCGGCTTTTCCCAAACTCTAGCATTGATGATAATTTTGCAGCTGTACAAGACACAGGTGGATGGATCACACCATGATGATTCATTTAAGTTACGGCTGGATTACCTACAAGCGGCTAGGTGAATCAGTTCATCATAGCATTGAATGTAATAGCAAAACTGTCCTTCACAGTTATTCATCGAGTTACTCTAAAAAGGTTCCAAAATTCTGACTTGTTCTGCAAATTTAAGGCATTGAACATCTATCATACAGTTTCCGTTATTCAAAACTGTGAGTAAAACAGAAGTATTAACTTTATTCCTAGGAGAAAAACAGAGGAAATGGAGGATAACGATTGTATTGATATTTTGGCAACAAATGTATCGAAATGAACTGCAGAAGTGCGCCTAGGACTTCTCAAGAATAAGCCCTTCTTACCACTGCTTAAGAAGAAGCGCACTTAGCACTTCTGCTATTCATATTACTTTCGTCTTATCTATGTGAATAATATTCCTCGCAACTGCGCTTCACAGGTCGCGAAACCACGAGCGACTATAAACTAAAATTAGCGGAGCATATTTATAGCGGAGGACCATGCCTACAACTGCCACATGTGGCAAGCAATTTCTTCGCAACTGCTCAAGGAGCAACGTGATTTGTGCCAACCGCCTCACATCGTATTTTTTTATATCCGCGAGAGGGATGGAGCTTGTTAGGTAGGACAACTTTAGACTAGCCGACTTCTTAGTCTCCAAGACAAATTGCACAATGGAACAGCAACGAATGGAAGTAAGTTCCCTTCGGATCGCAAAACGTGAGTGTCACAGGACTTATCTTAGCCAGGAAGGCCTGACGTGCGACATTCATCTGACGCGGTACGCACCGATATGGTTTTCATACATGTTGTTGGTCAATGCCTGAAACTAGGTAACCGAATGTAAATTTGAGATCAAAACAACCTGGCTAAGCAGGCCTCTTCCATTCCAGCACTAATTTGTCCCATTCCATCTTGTAACCTACCCATCATCGCATGGAACATTGTAAAGACAAATAAATATTCCTCCAGGGCTCAAAGACATTCAGACATGCTCAACAAATTGCCGAGTTTGACGCGCAGGCTAGTAAAGGCAAACGACTGACGACGGTGAATGCAAACGATCTGCAACAGACTACCCAGGTTTGACGTGCAGGCGTAGGGAATGTAAACGCCTGACAATGCAACCGCGCCCAGCTTGCTAAGTTACGTTAGCATCCATCCAAGATAAGCGCCAATAGCTTTGCCCACGACGCTCTTTAACCCAAGTCACATCATGCCAGCTGAATTCGAACATTCGTAAGCGCCGATAAATACACGGCCAAGCCATCTCGGCTGTTGCTTATTCCCTGGCACCAGACGAATAAACGAGCCCGCCGCACACATCTGTCAGGAGCCGCCTCACGATTCACAGTAAATCACCGGCCGTCGAGATCACAATCCATCTGGCTGACGTGGCACCATCCGTAACATTACCAAAACATTTCAGCCTTTCGAATGAGTAAATCTGGCTGCCGGGGCCGATGCCTCACCGGCGACACCGGGTCAGAGTGCACGTCCATAACCGGTACGTGCGACCCGCGCCCGCCAACAAATGCTGCAAGAAGCGCTGCAGAAACAGAACGGTACGTACCACCTGACGCTTCCAGTCCAGTGCGTACGTCACGCATCTTGTGTGAGCATTAAACCATACATATCGAAGACGTTAACATGATATGTCGAATAACCAACCCTGCCACAAACGTTCACGAATAACAACACCACACAAAGTTTCTCTACGTCCCAGTGTGCAGACGTTCTGAACAGCTCACGCAACAGACACAGCACCGATATATTTTCGTACAATTATTCAATTTCCACTTTCCGGACAGACAGTCTCGCGCATGTCATGTGAAGCAGCCAGCCCTGAGCGTGATGCCGTTGCCCTCTCCGTCAGGGCCGGGCGGATAGAGACGATCAGTGGCCGTCGGACAGCGATCCGTGCCGGCCGGTGGCCCTCTCGCCGGCCGCCGCCGGGCCGCTGAAGCAGCGCTGCACCGAGCGCTTCCACTCGGCTGAGGAGGTGTGCCGCGGCTGCGGCGGCGCGGACGTGAGATACCCGCACGGCCGAGGCGGCGGCGGCGTATATGATAGAATCCAGTACGACGGCGGCGGCGTATATGATAGAAGACAGTACGACGGCGGCGGCGGCGGCGGCGGCGGCGGCGGCGGCGGCGTGCGTATGATAGAAGCCAGTACGACGGCGGCGGTGGCGCGTACGGCGGTTCGCTATGAAGGGCTGCGGCAGCCGGGTTCC